GGCTGCTGCTGCAAAGTTCCCAGAGGACGTTGTCAGGTCACGGCTGTGCCGCCGCCCCGGAGCCACAGCCGCCTGGAAGAGGGGCAGGAGGGCACTGCAGGCCGGTGACCCCGCTGGGTCGGGAGTGAAGTCAGGGGGCCGACATGTACATGGTCCCCGACATCTGGCCATGACTCAAGGCCTTGGCAGCCGTGCTCAGACACAGCCCAAGCCCGAGGGCAGGAGTCAGGGAGGGAGCTGCCCATCGGAAAGAGGACCCACGCACATCTCCAAGCCTTTACGGCTGAACTGCCTCGCAGCTCGCCCCCACCGCCAGGCCCCTGGAGAGAAGGCGTTCACACAGAGCTCGTTCAGTTCCTATGACGCTGTTCCTGGTCCCGGCAACGCTGACAATTAGTAACAGTCACAGGATTCCTGAGCAAGGATGGCTGGAGGAGATTCCCAGCTCTGCCTCGTGAGGACTCAGTCTCCTCTCCTTTAAAACGGGAATAATAGCATCTACGCCTGGGGCGTTGTGCAGATGGAGCCAGCGAGTGTGCGTGGAGCAGCTGGGATGGGGCCCAGTGTCTGTAAATGCCGTCATCACTGTTGCACGGATGTCACCGAGCACCATCTGTGTTGCGGGGGCTGTGGGGTCAGCACACTCAGGAGGTCGGACACCATGGTCCCACGGTCACCGAGGAGACCCAGCGAGGGCGAGCGACGCCCCTGAGTTCACTGTGCTGGTAAGTGGTGGAAACGGGCTCTGAACCCGAGTCTGTTCGCTGTGGAGAACTTTCACCCAAATCATGCGGCCCCACAGTCAATAGACAGTGGAACTGCGTCTCATCGAGGGGAGGGTTCACAATCAGCACCTTTTGGGGTAGACGCTGCTGCGTCACAAGCCATCCCAAGCTTGGTGACATCAGACAACCATTTTTCTCACGTGCATGGATTCTGTGGGTCAGAAATGTGGAGAAGGCCCAGGGGGACAAGTCTCTCATTTCGTGATGGGTGGGCTCCTCCACTGGGGAGGCCTGAAGGCTGGGGGCTTGGATCCTCCGGAAGCTTCCGTACCTGGCTGTTGGCGGGGACCTCAGAAGTTGCCCCTCCACATGGCTGCCCATGTCCTCGCAGGGGCGTCTGGGTTCCGAGCTGGTGTCCATTAGGACAGGGCAGAGCGTGTCTTTTTTCACGACCTGGCTTGGGAGTCACTTCATCCTTCCTGCCGTTCTGTCCGGGTTGACCAGTCCCCAGGTCAGCCCAGGTTCAAGGCAGAGGGGACATGGATCATGGCCCTTCACAGGAGGAGTGTCCAGTCTCTCCGTGAGAGAGCGCATGGACGGGATGCCCACGATGGCCTTTGAGAGGCGCTGTCTGCTGTGACTCGGAAGGAAGGGTGTGTGGCCACCACAGCTGCGCTGGCTCTTCTTGGCCATGCGCCAGATGGTTGGTCCACATTGGGACACGTGGCGTGCGTGTGCGAGTCACTCAGCTCTGGGCTCCCGCATGAGTCCTGAGGCCCAGAGGCCTTGAGGGACCAGCTCCTTCTCCCAATCCAGGCCCAACCCAGGCACGTGCTAGGGCCGCCCGGGCGACCTGCTGCACGATTTCACGTGCTGTTTCCATCTTTGTTTTCTTCCTGTTGACGGTGGTTGGGGCTCCCCAAGCCCTTGTGACTGAATTTGCCTACATCCCTTCTTAGAGTTCTGTTCTCCACAGATTCACGGACCTACACATCTTCTAGGCTTGATCGCAGCTGGAACTATTTCGGGACGGCTCTCTGTGGCATCCACGGTCTCCAGCTCATGGAGAAGGCCAGCTGCCCAGGATGTGCACTGGCCTTGCATCTCCCAGCTGGAAGAGACCAGTACCAGAGCCCAGCTTCTTGCTCCCAGGTTTCCAGCCTGGAGGGGCCATAGATGCTGTCCGGGCACCCACCGCCCTCTGGGCTTCTGCAGAGACACGGGGAATTGGAAGGGGCTGTGTCTCAGGCACCCCCAGGACACGGGCTGGCCAAAACCCAGTCCCACAGGCACAGCCCCGAGGAGGCTGTCTGTGCCCAGGCACCACTCTTTGGTACCCAGAGCCTTTGAGCCAAGGCCCCCTCCACCGGGCAGGCACTGGCTGGGCATGAAGGGCTCTGATTTCTGCAGGAACTTGAATCATCTTCATGGGTCCCTGGTGGAAACAGTCTGGCTTCCTCCATCTTCTATCCCTGGAAGCCTTCGTCAAAGTTTCTAATCCACGCCCCCCACCCCTACCGCCAATCTTGCCTAATAAGAACCATACAATAATAACCCTGTTATGGGGTGATTTTGTGTCCCCAAAGACACACTGGAGTCCTAACCCCCAGGACCTTGGAACGTGACTTATCTGGGGACAGGGTCTTTACAGAGGTGACCAATGAAGACAAGGTCCTCAGAAGGGTCCTGATCCAGTGTGACTGGTGTCCTTGAAGAAGGGGACATTTGGGTGTAGAGTCAGACCTACATGGAGCAGGGACAACATGCAGACCCAGGGAGAAGGCAGCATGTGACCCGAGGACGCATCTGGGAGCTGAGGACACCAGGGGCTGACAGCAGAGAGAGAAGCTGGGAGAGGTTGGAGGGGTCCCTGAGTCCTCGGGGAGGCCCTGTGACACTGGGCTTTGGCCTCTGGTCTCAAAGCTGAGAGAGAATGAGGCTCTGCGCTTGAAGCCTCTTGGACGAGGCTACAGTGGCCCCCGGAGAGGAACGCAGTGGGTGTTGGTCAACACCTGCTGACGCCGCCCACCAGGTAGAGACAGAGCAAACAAGCTGCTTAGAGCCGGAACTAGTCTGGGTTTGCGTCCCAGCCGCCAGTGCCCCCGGCTAAGTTACTTCCCATCCCGGCCTCATGTGTGACGGGGGCCCACTAATCCGGGCAAGTTGTTGCAGGCTGCGGAGGAGCACTGGCACCGGCTGCCGGGCACAGGCGGGACGCGGGCACCTGTCACACCCCTGCACCAGGCTCTGGAAGCTCAACCCGAGACGTCCGGGAGGAAGGGGTGTCTTTCCCGGTTCTGGGTCACACGGCCCTTGAGCGTTCCTCCTGGCCAAGGCCGGGTGTGCTGTCAGTCACCCACCCGGCCATGAATACAGAATAAAACGAGGCACTGACAATGTTTTTTCTCCACCAAGTACTTATAAGGCTGATGGAGCGGCTGAGCCACTTGGGCGGGGGGCGGGAGAACGGCAGCCCTCCGTGCCCGCCAGGTGGTAGCCCCTGCGCAGCCTCCCCAAGGACCCCGACCGCTGCCAGCTCTGGGCTCTGAGGGATGCGGATTGCCAGGCCATGCCCCAACCTGCCCGCCAGGGTCCATCCCCCCCGCCATCTCCCACCACCATCTTGGCGGTGGCCTCTTCACCCTCCCAGCTGCGCAGGCCGCATGCCACCAAGCCAATCTGCCCCTCTCACCTGTCCGCTCCACCCGCGAGCCCTACGGCTTCCTTCAGACGATCCACACTCAGAGGGCTCTGACCATTTCCTCCCCAGGGCCAAGCCATCTCACTTCCTGGATTATTTCAGAAGCCCTGGCCACCCTGCCTCTGCCCTCGCCCCTCCACTCTGGAATCACAGAGGCCAGAGGGGTCCCTAAAGATGCAGGTGAGGTGGACTCTCAGCTCAGAGCCTCCGACAGCCCCCATCTCACTCAGAGCAGAAGACGACCCTCCCCGCCCTCCTCGGCTCCTGCCACACAGGCCTCCTTGCTTCTGGGGCTCCATCCTGCCCCAGGCCTTTCACCTGCTGCTCCCTCTGCCTGGAACGCCCCTCCCATTCCCTGATTGTCCACGGCTCCTCGGGCACCTGGAGGTCTCTCCGTCGATGTCACATGTCCCCTCCCCCGACCGCTCTCTTTAAAGCCACCCCCTGCACTGCTGGTCTCCTGCTCCTCATTTCTCCTTCCCCTTTCTCACTGAGTGACACTCTGTCTTGTCTCTTATCGCCTCCTCCACCGGAAAGTGAGCTGCGGAAAGGCAGGACTGCCGGCTGTTTTGTTCCCTCTGTAGCCGCAGGCCTGGCTAACCCCCGTGCTCAGAGCGGGTGTTCAACTCGGGGCACGAGGCCGCAGAGGGTCTCCCTGGGGCTGGCCGGGCACCTGCTCCCTGAGCCTCTAAGATCTTGAAAGCCGCCTGCCGACACACCGCGTGTCCTGGTTCTGACAGTAAAGCTCTCCACACCGTGTCTGGGGGGCTGTTCCCGGGGAACCTGCGCCCCCGGTCGCCGACATTCCCCAAAGCTCTGGGTGACGGAGCACCCTCCCCACGGGGCTATGGCCTGGCCTGTTTAGGGCCTCCAGAGGAGAGCCATCTCCACCACCCTGAGGCCCTGACTTGCAACCAAGATTCTTCCAGAACTTTCCGTCAGTTCTCCAAGCAGCTAGGGGAGGAGGTTTGAAACCAGGAGGAGCCGCTGTGGTGGGAAGGGCGGGCTGAGGCTCAGTCACCACGGACCGGCTCAGGGCCTCCCTCGGGGTGCTCGGGGCCCGCAGTCGGTGCACCTCGTGCAGTGTGGCCTGGAGCCTCCTGCCCCTTGGCTGAGACCTGCCCTCCCCAGCGAGCCCCATCTACCCCGTCCTGCCCGGGACCTTCTCCCGGGGAGCAGCCCTGGGGGCTTGGGGCACCAACAACCCCCATTGGCGCCTCTGCCTGCCGCATCCAACCAGGACAGACCCGCAGAGGGGACGGCGCAGCCAGGTCTCTGCCACGGACGCTGGAACGCCCTGGGTTGGAGAACCGCTCCCCACGCGGCCCCGTCCCGCGGCCCAGACGCAGCAGAAGCGAACTGCCTGGGACATAAAACTGCCGTACGAACGCCCTCTGTTGTGACAGTCAACAGACAGAACGTCCTCGTCCTGCTGCCATCGAGCTTTCTTATGCTGACTCAGTCCAGGGCTTGCCTCCGCCGACCCACAGGGAGCAGCTCGCCCACCCGCCTGGCCGGCCCCGCATGGCTGCGCAAACCCGCCCTGGGAGGCCCGGCCGGGCTGCGGCACTCACCCGCATGCCCAGCTCGACGTTCTCGCCCCCGTACACCTCCATGCCCGGGTCCAGCAGGCCAATGTCCCCGAAGTACTCTCGGTCCACCACAAATGAGCAGCCGATCATGGCCGGGGTCCTGGGGGGAACAGAGACAGCGGCATGAGTAGGTGGCCGGCGCATGACCCTGGGCCCGCCCCACCCTGCTGGGGGTGCTGAGCACAGACCAGGCCAGTGGCCGGGAGGGCCCCCGTGGCCCACGCTCTCTTTCTGAGTCCTCACACCTCATCCCTGTGCTTCTCAGCACCTCTTGGTCAGGTGCCCAGGGCTTGGGACAGCTGTTTTCCAGCCCCCAGGACACCTCAGGCTTGTCTCTGCTCCCTCGGAGCCTGGCTGAGCACCCAGTACAGACAAGTCCAAATGCTCATTGAACAACATGAGCAGATGACAAAAACCAGCATTCAGTTCAGGCAACTTAGTGTAGGGGAGTGAAAAATCAGTTTGCCCAGTGAGTTGTTTGGTTGCCCTGAAAATTATTTCCCAAGCCTGCATCTCTTGCCTACCTCCTTCATTGTTTTGTCCTATCTGTGTATCAGTAGTCAGGGCTACAAGGGACAGGTGTGTCGGTTGCGTACTGCTCAATTCTATGGACTCTCATTAATATCAGACTGTCTCTGAATGACACACCTTGGAGTTGTAGAGCGCACAACTTGTGCAGCTGTATGGAACAGGCTGCCAACTGTACTGTTATTTCTGTAACAATTCTATTTACATCTACACGTTCTTAAAAGGTTGGTAAATCTTGTCTTGTCCCAAGCAATTATATTTGTGAAATCATGCATCGATGGGCCAGTTATATTTTTTCTAATATGCATTAAAAATGTATCAGTGTTGTGCGTCCCCAGGAAGTGGTCTCACAGAGCAGCGATGGTAAAGCAGGGCACAAGGAGACAGACAGTGGCGGAGAAAAAGTGGACGGACCCACTGTAAATGGTGTTGCTCATTCACTCGCTTAGTCAGTCAATCATGAATTTGGGATACATCGGGTGTCTACTAGGTGGTGCGGAGGAAAGAGAAAGAAAAGAGAAAGAGAAAGTGTCTCTGCAGCTAGAACAGGCAGCCTGTCCATGGTGAGAAAACAGGGCCCTCTAAGCTTTCGATGGAAGATTTTGCCTCAAACAAAGGCAGCTTCCTTGTGGGTTGAGGGCTCAGTTTCCTCCCAGCCCAGGGAGGTCGCGCGAAGGCTTCCCGGGTCCCGGAAACCCCTGCCGCTGCAGGGCTGAGACAAGGCTGGAGCGGGTCCCTCTCGGTGGCCGCCATGCTCCTGCAGGTGCAAATCCTCTTCACCAAGAGAAGCAGCAGCAGGCGAGTCTCACTCACAACTGGAGGCAGCGTTTCTGCTCCCCGTGACCGGAGTCAGGAGCAAGTGCCCGTCAGCCATCCACGGAGATCGGGGCCCGTCAGCCGTCCAAGGAGATGGGGGCCCGTCAGCCGTCCACGGAGATCGGGGCCCGTCAGCCGTCCAAGGAGATGGGGGCCCGTCAGCCGTCCACGGAGATGGGGGCCCGTCAGCTGTCCAAGGAGATGGGGGCCCGTCAGCCGTCCACGGAGATGGGGGCCCGTCAGCTGTCCAAGGAGATGGGGGCCCGTCAGCCGTCCACGGAGATCGGGGCCTGTCAGCCGTCCGCGGAGATGGGGGCCAGTCAGTCATCCGTGGAGAGCGGGGGCACTGAAAAGCGATTATGCTTCTATTTGAGCAAAGATCCAGGTTGTCTGTCAGTAGATTTTGGTCACAAATCTAACGATAACGAAATTTTAATGCCGCCCTCGACGTTAATCGCGAGTGTTGACGGGTTAGGTGGCAGTTCGCCGACATACGGCAGGTGTTCCTCTCATTTTCTCACAACAGCAGCACGCCAGGGTGGCCTCTGACGGACTGAAGCGCCCAATTCCCTGCCAAGTCTGTTACGGCTGCTGCTGAGTTTTTATTATTGCTCAGAGTTCCAAAATAAACTTAAAATAAACTCATAAGGCGACAGTAGCAGAGGCAGCTGGTGCTGAATGTATTTGCACGAGAAATTCTTGCTGTGATCACAGAAAACAGCAAGGACTGAGTGACGCGCCGGCCTGGCCTCTCAGGTCCGCGGGAGACTCGTCCCTGGGCACCGTCCTTGCATCCAGGCTGCTCTGTGATGTGCTGGGAGCCGGTGGCTCACCACAAAGGGCCCTCACTCGGGCTTCTGCCTGGGAGAGGTAACAGACACGCAGACACACGCAGATGCACGGACACACCCAACACACACCTACATGTACCACAAATATACACATGCACCAGACATGCAGGCACACACAGATACATGGACACATGTAGATGCATGTGCAACACGCATAGATACCACAAGTACACACAGAGACATACACGCCACAGACACACAGATATACAAATACGCAGACACACACAACACACATATATGGTCCCACAAATGCATCCACAAACACACACACAGACACACCCAGATACACGTGGATACATGCAGACACACGACACCTGTATACACACGCAACACACAGAAACACACATATGCAGCTCCACACACAAACATAGACACATCTGCAGAAAACACACAGACACACACACCTCCGAACCCACGCAATTTGGGAGCACTGCATAAGTGGGAGCTGACAGAATGAGGGGCACAGGTGGGTCCCTCAGCCTTCGCGCGCCGGCCCAGGATCAGGCGGGTCAGCTGCTCTCGGCGTCTGGAACAATATGCACCACGTGTCGGCCCGGCGGTGAGCACGAGCACACGCTGGGTCAGTGAGCATGTGGAAGGCGTGTCAAGTTAGAGAAACACATGGCCTCGCTGGTGACAGGCACTGACACACTAGACGTGAAGGAGCCATCTTGCACGCATTCAACACTGAGCGTGGGGGGGACACACCACGGTGGCAAGTTTTTGGAGAAACTGGTGTGGACCGGTTCAACCCTCTTGGAAAAGTCTGAACCTATGAACAGAGCCCAAACTGTTTCAGCACGCTCCGCAGGCGGTCTAGAGCAGTGATGGGTGGCATGGAGTCAAGAGCCTGACCTGGCTCTGTGCTCACTGCAGTGTGACCTTGGACAAGTCACTCAACTTCTCTGTGCTCAGCGTCCCCACTGTAATGCGAGAGGCAAGACAGTGCCTCCCCAACGACCGCTGAGTGGATGAAAGGTGTCAACACACGCAGACTGCTCGGGAGAGCGTGGGAGCCTGGGAACCTGGACCTTTGCTCAAATAGAGGCATAATCGCTTTTTAGTGCCCCCGAGGTCCGTGGACGGCTGACGGGCACTTACTCCCGACTCCTGGCTTTCCTGTTATTGTTTCACGCCCTAGTCCACCACTGGTGTTTATCCTAGGAAACTGTCCAAACACTCTTCGCACAAAGCTGGGCGGAAAGGGAAATTGGCGCAGGGCCCATCATGTAGACGGGGAACGAGGTTCGGGTCATGCCTCTGGGGGAACGTGTCCAGCTGCCAAGCCCTGCGCTCCTCAGACCCGCCAGCCCCTTGGCAGCGCTCCTTGGAAGATGTTACATGGAAAGGTGTAAAGTTAACGGTCGCTGTCGCACCATCGCAACTAGGGGAGCAACCACAGACGTGTGCGAGTGTGTGTGTGCGCATCTATGCCCGTCTCTGTGAGAGCGTGTGTGCGTCTGTGTGCATGCATGCACGCACGTGTATCTGTGTGTGTGCACACGTGTGTACCGTGTGTGCATGTGTGAGTGCATCAGTGTGTGACTTCGTGGAGTATTGTGTGTGACTGGGGCCTTCGTGCCCCATTGTCGGGGAGGAGTGGGGTGCTGGGTGTGTCCTCGTCCACGAGGCTCGTCCGGGGCTCCCTGCCCCCTCGGGAGCCGGCTCTACACCCACAGTCCCTCCTGGGCGGCTGTGGGGACAGAGAGCAGACCCGGCCCATGGCCCCGTGGCTGCGTGGAGCTGCCTGCGGTGCAGCGTGACATCGCAGCTGCCCTCCGGGGGCCCCGGGGTGAGGGAGAGCAGGGAGGACGGGCCTCAGGCGTGTGCAGAGCCTGTGCCCCCCACCCCCTGCCGCGAAGGAGCTCGGGCCAAGGAGGGCAGCAAATGCAGGTCCCCATCCGACTGCCTCAGGATCCGGAAGTGTCTCCACGCCGGCAACCCCGTTCCAGCCCCCTCAGAGCGCAGGGAAGCCGTCTGCCCTTCCTGCCGGCACTGAAATACTTGACCCGCAGAGGTCCAGGCCTTATAATTGCTTCTCATTCTTTTTCCTTCCTGAGCGTCAAGTATGATGAATGGCAAGAAAATTTCCTGGAGTAAATCTTCAGATGTCAGCCTCTCCCGGTGCTGAGTAATTTCCTGGCAAGCGCCAGCCGTGTCCTTCAGGAGAAGGGCAGCCACTCTTCCCTGCGGGCGGGAGACAAGAAGTCCCGGAGGAGGCCCTGGGGGACCGCGTGCGGCCGGGCTGAGGTTCTCCTCATCTGTGGGGGCTGCGGCTTGGCGAGGTGGCAGGAGGGCGGCTGCAGGGGACCTTGTTCTGCCGGATGTGCTGGGCTCGGGAGCCCGTGGGAGGCTGCGGGGAGCGTGTGAGGAGCCCGTGGGAGCTTGAGGGGAGGCCGCGGGGAGACCTTGCTGAGCAGTGGAGCCCGAGGGCGTCCTCTGGACAGGAGCGTAGTGACCAGGGGAGCAAAGGGCTCAGGCTGCCGCGGACCTGGCTCGGTCTGAGGGCGCAGCCCTTCTCCGTCATTCGGACCCAGACCACGTGCCCTCACCTGCCCTCCGCTCCCCAGGAGCCCGGAAGCTTCCATGGCCCCCAGTGGCGCTCGGCCGTCCCCTCCTCCTGGGTCAGCCCCGCCGGCCCCTCCGCTGGTCCAGCCCCTCTTCTCTCCCACGGTTCTACCTCTCTCCTTTGGGGACTCTGTGCTCCAACGTGCTGTTCCAGCTATTCCAGAAGTGGGCAACAACCTGGGGCCACCAGACCCACCGTCGAGGACCTGACCCAAAGCCCCAGCCGCCCGACCTCCACGGGCCCTGCGCCGACTGGAGGTCCGCAGTTCGGAGCCTGCGTCTGGCGGCCCTGCAGAGCCGGCTCGTTTCTGTTTCCAACGCACTGATGTCCTGTGGCTCCTGGTCGACGGCCGCTGGTCACACGGACCTGTCTCGGAGGCCAGGAGGAAGACTGACAGGACGAACTGAGGCTGTGTAGAGGGTCCCTCCTTGGGGGGACCAGGTCTCCCCTTCACTCGAGGGACGCGGGACGTGGTGTCTGACAGGCCCTCCGTGGGGGGACGCGTGGGGGAAGTGCAGGGAGTCGTGGGGACGGTGGCGACACCCTGTCTGAGCAATCAGCAGCAACTCGGCTCCAGCAATTGTCACCACACAGGAATGGGGGCCTAAGTTTTCCAGAATCTTCTAATTTCCAGAGAGGGTAGATATCAATTTCATGTGAAACTTCCTCAAATTTAAGTGTTGGTTCCAATGTTACAATATATTTGGCGCAAGAAAGTGACCACCCTGTGCCCAGAGGCGGCCTTTTCTAGCAGAACTGGACGGTCACGTCCGTGCTGTGAACATGGCGTTGTGTCCACTGAGATAAGGTCAACAGCGCCTGGTTCTTCTCCCCAGAAGGAGAGGCCGGGGGTCCGGGGCCCGTGGAGGGGCCAGTAGGGAGGGTGGGTGTGGGTCTGGGGCGGGATGATCGGCCTGCTCCCTTTCCACGGCCCGTCGTGTAGGATTTCCAGGATCTCACACTGTGGCCCTTGCTGGCTGGTGCCGAGCTGGGCTCTCGGGCGGAGACCACCTTCAGGGGCGATGGGGCGTCTCCAGTTGGGGATGACAGCGAGTGGTGCCGTGCATACTCACGGGCGTTCTCCACACAGACGTGTGTTTGCATTTGCTCAGGGCCAGTGCCGAGGGGCGGCGCAGCTGGTCACCCAAGGCGCGTTCTCTCCTTTATGAGCAGCCACTGAGCGGCTTCCTAGAGCGGCTCTGCCATCCGTTCTCCTCCCACAGGATCGGAGCGCCCCGGGGACTCCCGCCTCACCAGCACATGGTGCGGTCTGGCTGCTGAGGCCCGCGGCTGTCGCGGGATGCAAAGCCACCCACCACGACCTCGACCGGCTGCCTAGGGGCTGACGTGGCATCTCTCCGTGGCCCATGGCACTTTGCCTTTCTCCTTTCCTGGGTGTCTGTTCACTTTCATTTGGATTTGGGCATCGGGGTTTTTAGGGACTCTCCAGGTGACGCTGATGAGGAGCGAAGTTGGACACAAATGCACTGCGGCCGGAGAACCCGCTTCCTGCAGCTGGGCCGCCAGGACCGCGGGGGACACCGCCCCCGGGTTCTCTGACTTCACCGACTCCTAAAGCATCAAACACGAGGCGTGTTTTGCTGCTACTTGGGGATTATCGAGGGCATTTTGAATGAAGCAAAGTGACCTTCGAGCCGCTGCTCCTCGTCTGCACGAGCCGGCCCGTGGGTCCCTCCGGTCGTGGAGGAGCTCCCAGCCCAGGTCCTGCTCCCTCTGGCTCACTGTGTGGGCCCTGCGCCTCTCGGGCATCTGGAGCCTTTCTCTGGGGCAGTGACCTCAGGGCAGCTCAAGGCCCCCCCGCAGCCCTGTCAGCCTTCCTGTTCAGAGCATGTCTGTGAGGGTGGCGTTGTCTTCCTCCTTCGAGAGCAGGGGCACACGGGGCAGGGGGCCAAGCCATGTCACTGCCTTGTGCCCCCGGACTTCACTGCTGGACGTCCAGGCCTCTCTGGACTCAGTGCATCACTGTATGGCTCCGTGGCAGCAGAGGGCAGGTACCTGGAAGCCCCTGTGAGGCCCGGCCGTGGGTGGTCCTGGTCACGCCCAGGCAGGGGGGCTGCTTCGGCAGGATTTCGGCAGGGACACGCCAGTCTGTACAGTTGAGGCTGGGGAGGGCATCCCAGCCCTGGCCCCTGAAATCCTAAACCTCCGTGGGGGACCTGACAAATGCTCCAGGGGTCAACAGGTCCTGGAGATGCATGTTCATTCTGGGAAAAGCCCTCCAGCCTGGTGGGGCCCCCAGGAGAAAGTGGCAACATCACTAGATGTTGAAGCACAGATTTCCCAGGGAGTCAGCAGACTAGGGAAGTCAGGGGAAGGGGATGAAACAGCAGAAGCTCAGTCAGTGATGGCAACGATAAAGCAAGCCAGGTGAAGATGACTGACAGGGCAGGTAGGATGGTGAAGTGTCAGGGAGCGATAGGGAGTGGTGGGGACTGCAGCAAACTGCAACCACGCACCCTGTTTACACAAGGGACCACTTTTAAGCTCCAGCTGATTGCTGCCTGGTGAGAATGTGGGCCTCCCCATTTTTCAAAAGATGCTGGACTTGTGTGTTTTTTGTTTTTGTTTTTTTTTGGTGAAGAAGATTGTCACTGAGCTAAAATCTGTGCCAGTCTTCCTCTGTTTTGTACATGGGTCGCTGCCACTGCATGGCTGATGAGCAGCATGTAGGTCTGCACCCAGGATCCAAACCCGCAAACCCCAGGCTGCCGAAGTGGAGTGTGTGAACTTAACCACTATGCCACCAGCCGGCCCCCAGACTTGTGCATTTTTAACATATAAAAATCACTCCATTTTCACGTTTGAGAACCAATTCATAATAAAATAATTGTTTTGCAGGACAATCTATGGTGTCTGAGTAAACGACGTGGCTCACACCGTCTGTTGGCCTCGTGGTCTCTCCTTTGCTCTCCCTGTGCCTGTTTATGGCTCTGCTGTGCTGCCCCTGTCTGTCCATCTGTCTGTCTGTCTCTCCCTCTTTCTGTCTGGGTCTGTTTTTCTTGGTTCCCATTCCTTCTCTCTGTCTCTGTGTATCCCCCCCCCCGACCCCGACTTTCTCTCTTGCTGTCCCCTGTTCTCTCTCTGTGTCTGTGTGTCTTTTTCTGTCTCTTTCACTGTCTCTTTCTCTCTGGATGCTAGCTCTTTCTGTCTGTCTGTCCTTCTGTCCCCACCTGCTCTTATCATCACTTGGATCACAAACTGGTGCCAGCTCCCCACTGTCCCCATCACCACGTCCCATGCACACCCACCTGGCGCCAGGCAGTGGCTTTCTGCAGGGGAGCGTCGTCCATCCCGCTAGCCGCTAGGCCCACCTGCAGTGGCCCCTCCACACCCCCACCTCCCGCCGCTCCTGGCTCCTCCGGCATAGGCCGTGCCTCGGCGGTCCTGGAGGCTGGCTCACCTGATGGGTGCCGCCTCATCGCCGCGGTCCAGCCAGTCCTGGGGCGGGATGATGTACATGCACCAGAGGCCCCAGTTGTAGCCGTGGGCCGCGCTGGCGTACTGCTGCACCTCGAACGTGTCGTACTTGATGTTGTCGATGGCGGGCAGCACGATGCGCCGGCGGTCCTCCCGGATCCGTGTGAGGGCGGGCTCGGCCCTGCGGGGAGGCCCATGCGGTGAGGAAGGGCATGGACGCTGGGCCCTGCATCCCATCCCCGAGGAGGGGCTGGCTCACGCAGCGCGGGCCGCCATGCCCGGGTCTGAAGGCCGGCTGGACCACTACCTCCTGGGCCGGATCCAGGGGCTTCACCTCTGGAAGCCCCAGGGGTCTTCTGGGCTGCAGCCCCCTGGCCCGAGGTCTCGCCCTTCCTGGGTTAGCCCACAGCTAACAACTGACTGACGCGGGATATAAAAACCATTTTGGCCCAACCAGTGACATCTCTGAGGCGCTGTCCTGGCTCCAGAGCTCCCTGTGGGTCAGCTGACCCTGTCCCCAGGCCTGTGTCACACCTCGGCCTCTCCCTCCACCGAATCTCACCTCCCACCCCTCCTTGCCTGCACCGTTGGAAGGTACATTCATTTACAAGCATGAACTGAGGGCTGTTAGGTGCCACTCCCTGTTCTAACAAATTTGAATACATTTGTGAACTAAAGAAGGAAAAAATCCATGCCTCAGAGAACTTAGGATACACTGGAGGGACAAGACAGTCTCCCAAGTAGTGTTGTGCAGTGCACAACCTACACAACAGTGTGTGGTGGCCCTAACAGGGCGGGGGCGTGGGGACAGACAATGATGCATAAGTGAATGATATCACACATTAGGAGGTGATGGGTATTGTGGAGGAAACACAGAGTAGAGTAAGAGTGGTTGGAGTTGCAGTTTTAAATAGGGCGTCTGGTGTGGGTTGCAGGTGGTGATGACCAGGAGGAGGTGTAGGCAGGAGTGGGCGTGTGTTGGGGGACGGGCATTCCATGCAGAAGGAACAGCCAGCGAGACCCCGGGATGTGCTGGGGTGCTTGAGGAGCAGACCAAGTGGCTGGAGTGGAGAAGGGGGCAGTAGGGGCGATGAAGCCGGGGAGGAGTGAGGCCAGAGGACGCGTCTTCCTCCTGTGCCCTCCCTGGGCAGCGGTGCGAGCTGCAGACCCTCGGAGGGAGTCCCGGGGCACTGGAGCAGTTTGCCCTGTCTCCCATGAGGATGAGATGCCCCCCAAGGGCCTTCCACCTGCCGCGGCTGACAGCACCCACTGGCCAGGGAGCCGATGCCGCTGTGGGGGACAGAGGGGCCGAGCGCAGGTTCGGGGGTCTGGCTTGGGCAGGGACAGCTGGGGGGGTTGAGTCCTCCGACCCCGCCGGCGAGAGCCACCGCGTGGCCTGCCTTCCTTCCTGTGTTCCGAGCGAGAGCCTGGGGCTTGGCTCCGCCTCGGCTCCACGAGGAGGATTAATTAATTACTGTTAGCAAAGTGCTTCGGAGATGAGCTGCTCTCTGCAAACGGCACGCCAGCTAACAAGGCAGTTCGTTGTAGAGACAGTTCTGGGAGGGGAGGGCTGTTGCAGATGGATAACGGGGTTTTCAGTTGTGACGATTAAAGTCACACAGGTCTAAAATGGCACTTTGACGTGACAGCCTCACGGCTTTCCCAGATGCCCTCCAAACGCCCAGGGAGTTTAACACATTACAGGGATGGAAAGGCCACCAAATGCCTTGTGCAGTGCGCAACCTACACGAGAGTATGGAGAGACCCTGGTGGAGGGCAGACAACAATATATAGTTAAGGATAGAAGGCGATAGCTGTCACGGGAAAAGGAGAGTCACTTCATGAGGGTGGCGGAGGAGAGAGAAACGGGGGCTACAAAGGGCAGTCAAGGCAGAAAGAAGCCAAATCTCAGTCAGACACGTGCTGGGACGGAACCAACCCTTAGAACAAACTCGTGGTTGGGGAGAGTGAGATGCCCAGGGAGGGCGGAGGGAGCGCGGGAGGAAAAAGCTCCCCCATCTGAGGGACACCAACCCCTGAAGCAGTTGGGAAAACCACAAACTTCGAGAGGCTTCGAAATGCCAGGCCCTCCCTGGAGCCAGCTGGGGCCCCTGAACCACACGCTGTGGGGCTTCCTCAGCACACCCACCACAAACCCTCTTTGTAGCACATACAACCCCTCCTTCCCCTCGGGGTCGTATCCCAGGGCACGTCTTCATTCAGACTTCACAGAGTTTAAAAATATGAGCGGGAGATTTGACATAAAAATGGTGAGTTTTAGTTTCTCTTGAAAATTGGACAAGCTGGCCACACCAGGCCCACTTTTCCCCACAGCTCAGCTGACGGGTACTGCGGGCTGCCCGGGTGTGGGGCTCACGTCCGTGTTCACTGAGGACCCCTGTAGACCCCCCACTGTGGGTCTAACTTAAGGAGGTTGAGCTGAGAGCATCCTGGTTCACCTTCGGGGGCCCCAAACCCAATGACAAGGATCCTCATAAAAGACAGAGGAGGAGAGACGCACACAGGGTGGCAGAGGGGGAGGCTGTGTGAAGGTGGAGGCAGAGGTTGGAGGGACGTGACCACCAGCCAAGGGAGGCTGGAGCCCCCAGGAGCTGGAAGAGGGTTGAATGGTGGTCCTCCCGAAAGCCGTGTCCAACTGGAACCACGGATGTGGCTTAATTTGGAGTCTTTGTAGACGTAATTAAGTTAAAGAGCCCAAGATGAGATGGTTCTGGATTGAGGGAGGCCCTAATTCAGTGACTGGTGTCCGTATAAGAGAAAGGCAGAGGCAGATTCGAGACACAGACCCGCAGAGGAGAAGCCACGCGATGATGGAGGCAGACATTGGAGTGATGCAGCCCCAGGCCAAGCGGTGCCAGGAGCCTCCAGAGGCTGGACAAGGCAGGAAGGACCCTCCCCTGGAGCCCCCAGGGGAGCGTGGCCCTGCCACACCCTGATCTCAGACTCTGCCTCCAGCACCGAGGGGAGGGTCTTCAGTGTGGGGAAGCTTTTGGTGGGGTGTTATGGCCCCCCCAGGACACTCCCACACTGAAGACCCTCCCTCTGCTCACGCTCACGGGTCCAAGGTGTCCGCTCACGTCCCAGGCCACCTCATGCCTCAGGTTGTCCCCTGCTCTGCCATCCCAGCTGGGAGCGTGTCTGACCCCATGTGCCTGGAGCCCAGCGCAGTTGAGGGGCTCCACCAACAGCCCCCAGGCCACCTCGCAATCACCTCGTGCGTCTGTCTTGGATCTCCACTCTGCAGACGGGATGGTGGAGGCACCTGGGGACAGTCGCCACCTGACACGCGGCTGCGGGCGCCCTCCCGCTGGCACTCGCACCACGTTAGTGACTGATCATCATATCACAGCTCTCGCCCACCGAGAGCCTTCCAGCGCCCTCCCCACCCGGCAGCCACTCATGCCTCTCACGTCGGCCACACGGGCTGGCGTGAGTGAGGGCTGCGGGGACGCCCCAGAGGCACCACCAGAGAGGAGAGGAAGGAAACACGAGGGGAGCCCAGCAGAGCTTTCCAGAAAACGCTGGAGCTCAGCCTGCTGCTCTGTGAACACACCCTCAGCCACCTGCTGTGAGGACGGCAGCTCGGGACAAGGGGTCTGGACAGAAGCACTGGGACCACCCTGGTCTGACGCCCTGTGGGGACCCCGCCTCCCGCTCGGTTGTGGATAGTTTGCTGGACGAATGACGCCGTTCTGAAGGCGCAGCCTCTAGAGGTGGCCCAGGGCTCTACCCTCAGTGAGCATGAGACCCCCGCCCTGGGTTGGGGACACAGACCCCGGGCGCCACCCCCGAGACCCTCGGTCACACAGACCTGCATTTCTGCCGACTCTCAGGGGCTGGTCAGGGGGCCACGCTGAGTGGGAAGGTCCCGAATGGTCCCTGCCTCCCTGGGGCAAGGACAGGCCAGGCCAGGAGCCCCAGCCTTCCTCCTGGTGGGTGGGCTCACTCCAGACTGTCCTGCTCCCCAAAGACAGCCCCGCCACGCCCCCACCAGGTCTCTCATCAGGGTGGGGCGGGGGAGGAACTTGTCAACTCTTTGATCTAGAATGTTCCATAAGAACGAGAAACTGCTTCCATCTGGTTCCCAGTGGCTCAGGCCTCTAGTGACTGACTGGGACCCTAGAGACTGCATGACTGCACAGCAACTGCCCCCAACCTTGTGTGATTCTACCTCTCTGGGGTCACAGGAATGTCCTCGTTTTATTCTGTCGCCTCCTGGAATCACTGGCCACTTCAGATCCTCTGGGAACGAGGTGGAGGCTCAGCTCCGTGCTCACAGACGCGTGTCCCGAGGTCCGCCCCCTCGCAGGTAGCTTCTGGGTTTGAGGAGCTGGGTGCGGAGAAGCCATGGGGCTGGACTCCGATGCCCCCTGGCCCTGCTGGGCTCGTCCCCTTTGCCCTGCAACCCACCGAGCAGGTGCTGGTGGACCCCGCCCAGGCTCCAGGCCCCTGGCCAGGGGCGGCTTAGCTCCACCAGCCTGCACCTGCCCTTACCAGCCGGTGCTGAACTCCACGTGGGCGTCGAAGAAGCCGACGACGGGGGCCGTGGCCGCCTTCCAGCCCTGCAGCCGCGCCCGGATCAAGCCTTCTCTCCTACTGTTGCGGACGATCTTCACGAGGCCCGGGTACCTCTTGTTGACGTACTGGTCCAGGTTGAACTTGAGCTCCACTGCGGGGAGACACAGAGTCACCCCAGCACCCCAATGTCCCGGGAGGGGCCCGGCCTCGGGACCGAGGTCCACCAGAGCAGGGCATGCCCGGATTCATAGGTCAGAAATGTTTAAGACAGCCCACTATGGTGGAGCGAGATCCAGGTGCTGGGGAGACCGCACGGGGACAAGATCCCACCCTCCTGAGGCCAGCATCTAGCGGGAGAGACACCAAACCAGGAAACAGTCCAAGCAGATGGAGTCGGGCAGAGGTGCATGTCAGGAAGACAGAGAAAGTGGGGCTGGAGAACCAGCCCTGAAAAGGAATGCAGCCTCTGGATGGATGGAAACAAGGTGAGTCCACACACACAACGGAGCATGACTTGGCCTCAAAAAGAGGGGATCGTGACTCACCCCACCAAAGGAGATACGCTGGTCCCAGAAGGACAAACGCCATGTGCCTCCCAGGGGAGTCACACTCGCAGAGAGAAAGTAGAAGGTGGCGCGGGGGCTGGGGGAGGGGCTAGTGTCGCTCAGGCCAGAGCTTTGTGTGGGACGATGAGCCCGGGAGAAGGGCGGTGGGGAGGGCTGCACAACCACATGGACGCACCTAATGCCCCAGGACTGTGTGCTCGTCTTAAAGATGGTCAATTTTACATTATGAGAATTCAACTCAATAAACTATTCAAAAAATTGAAGACGGCACATATAAAAGACAGGAATATATACGTGAGGAAACTCCCAACGGCCAATGTGCAAGCAACAAAATAAATAGCAATAATATCGGAGTTTAGCCAATAGGAAAAAAACAGAAAAAGAGAGCGGTCTGGAGCCCTCTGAGTGGATGGGGACAGCCGTCTGCGAAGACGACACCTGGGCTGGGCCTGGATGAGGAGGAGCCGTGGGGAACATGGGCGAGGGCTCCGGCCCGAGTCCCGGGGGAAGAGGGCGGGAGGGCAGACGGTCAGGGGCTGAGCGGGAGAGGCCTGCGAGCCCGTGGACCCAGGATCCCGCTTCCGGGCGCTTGTTAACCCTCCCCGAGCCGCGGTCTCCCAGCCTCCAAGCCACGGTCTCTCATCCTCCCCGGTAGACGACATCCACCACTGGGAGACCCATTGTCTCCCCGGAATCACGAGGCTGCAGGGGACGCCCCAGGAGGGCAGCCCTGGCCCCACGTGCGGCTCAAGCCGGAGCAGCTCCTCGTTGCTGGGACAGCCCTGTCCTGCCCTATCCAGGGAACGACCAGCGCTCGCTCCTCTGACAGCACCGTCCAGGGCTCTCCCCGGTGTGGACATCCAGAGAGACACTGGGCTGGCGCTTCCTCGGGCCCACCGCCCGCCTCCTCCTGGAGGGCTTCCTGGAGGGCGTCTCCGCTCTCCTCGGCCTCCTTACTCCCGAGGGGAGGGGTCGTGAAGGACTTATCCCACAGGCACAGCTCAGCCCCCGGGGCTGCTCATGGTGGGGTTCGGGCTCCCCTCACTCTGCCTCTGCAGAGGAACAGGCGAGGACGGGCCTGGGGCACCTCCGGGCCTGTTGGGGTCTTTGAGTCCTCTGTGCTTGGTGGGGGCGGGACAACGTGCCCTCCATGGAGCTTGAGGCTGAGGCCCCCAGGGGCTCTGGGTTCTGGCTGTGAGCCCGGCTCCTCCCCCAGCAAGCCGCCCATCTGCGCTCGTGTCTGCTGGTCGACAATAAGGAAAAGGGACCAAGAGAAACCAATGCTGGGGTCTTTCTGGACAGCCTCTGTGGGGTCGAACAGCAGCCTCCCAAAACTCATGTCCACCCAGAAGCTCAGAAGGTGACGTTACTCGGAAGTAGGGCCTTTGTAGATGTAACTGGTTAAGGAACTGGAGACGAAACCCTCCTGTACTTAGGGCGGGTCCTAAACCCACTGACAAGTGTCCTCATAAGAAGAGGAGAGACACAGACACACCAGGATGAGACCTCGTGAAGATGGAGGCAGAGACAGGAGCGATGTGGCCACAAGCCCAGGATACCAAGGTTGCCAGCAGACGCTGGATGAGGCAGCAAGGACCCTCCCGGGCCCCCCAGAGAGAGCACGGCCCTGTGACACCTCACTTCAGACTTCTGGCCCAGAGCTCCAACACGCTTTCCCTGGCTGGGCCCCGGGGGGGGCCCCAACTCACCATTGTCACTGTCATCGTCCACCAAGATGACCTCCTTGAGGAGCTGGGAGGGAGTGTGGTTGACCACGCTGTGGACGGAGCGCAGGATGACTGAGAGGGCCTCATTGACGAAGATGAACACCACGGAGATCTGGGGCAGGTCGTCGGAATAGGTCATCTGTCTGCACCTGCAGGGGACACGGCATGTGGGAGCGGTCAGTGCTGGACGCAGCGCCCCACAGGAGGCCAACTCGGGCCACTTCTAAATCCTGCTGCCAACAAAGGAGTGACAGCAATGCTGTAAATGGAAAAGGACCAAACGTAGCAAGAGAGACAATGCGGCTACATTCGCCTGAGAAGCCGTGGAGCAGGAGCCCACTGACCCCCACCGGAAAGTAGAGACTTGCGCCTGGAAGGCATTCAAACCCCGTGGGGACCACATGGACCCTTTCCTCTGGGTGCCTTCAGAAGGCATGGAAGAGAGGTGATGGGGAAGGGTGATCACGTCACATGTGGTCCAGTGGAGGGGACCGGGAGAGCCCCGGCCCACAGCCCACGTTGGTCCCTCAATGCCCAGCTCTGGTCTGCATCCCGCGTGGGTGTGGAGCTGGTGGCTGCTGGGCAGGTGGCATCTACTGGGTGAGTCCTGCACCCAGCAGGTGCTGTGCCCTGAAAGGACATCCGTGTAGACAGTGATGGGCAGCCCGATGGCAGAATGCAAGTGTCCAATGAGGGCTGTTGAGACAGAGAGGTGCCTGCAGGGGGAGCCTGGGATCAGAAACCAAGAGGAAGCAACGGCCTTGCCAGACCTACAACTCGAGGGATTAAGGAGACGGAGGGGGTGTTGTCCTTCCAGAGGTCGACTCATGAGGGTAGGGGTGTGGGAGAGGAAGAGAAAGGAGCAGGGAGAGCGAAATATCCCACAGTTGGGATGTGGGATGAGGACAGGGAGGGAATGGGGAGGGGTCTGGGGCGCATAGTGAGCAATGTTTTGTTTAAATGACAGTTAAATGAAGTTTATATACTGAAGTTTATATAAATGAGTCTGGAGAAAGCAAAGGTGGCTGTTAATGTAATAATGTAACAGAATAAATTCACAGGGGACAAAAGGGAGTGAATAGAAACTCAGTAAAACTGTCAAAAATAAAGAGACGGAAAAAAGAGGAAACGAAAAATAAAGTAAGTGACTAAGAAAAGCAAGCGAGAAGGAACCCAGCTGAGTGTGTTGGCCGCTGTAATAAATGTAAATAAACTAAATCTCTCCTTAAAATGGCAGAGGCCGTTCAATTAACTTAAATACTCCCACACACGCACACACAACACTGATGTTTGTTGTTTACGACACACACAGTTAGAATAAACTGATAAAAAAGTCAAAAATACGCTGAAATGGGAAGGGGCCCCAGGCAAATCCCACTCCCTAAACCAGCAACAAGGCGCAAACATTGCCCAGGACAGGACTTCAGGTTGAAAACCCCACACTGGATAAAGAGGGCTCTTCACAAAGGGGCAGAACCGGTCCTGAGCCATTGCCACAAGGCGACAGGCAGGTGCGTGTGAAAGGAGAACCGGCTGGAAACATGAGGGCTTTGGTGCAAATACAAGTGCACACCGTCTTCCAGTCTGTCGGGCGGACGGAAGAGCAGCCCTATGAGGGGTCTCCTAGTGCGTCCCCGATGCCGGCAGGGAAAGTGTGTTTCCTTGTCCCCATGAATGCTTACAGACAGTGGTCATGTATGTGCAAAACAGAAAACCTCAGGTTTTTACAAAGTGGAGACTTTACAGGCCAGGTTGGCTCTGCAGGTGTGACCCCGGCAGTCACGTGGCCCCTCAGGAAGGGCCCCCGCCATCACAGCCCTCGCCCTGCGCATCTGTGCTCCTCTCCTCAGGAGGCCACCCGTTGCTGGGTTAGGGCCCCGCTGCGCCCCTGAGACCTTGTCTTCACTAATGACGTCTGCAACAACCCCACTTCCAAATCAGGCCACCTCGGAGGTGCTGGCATCAGGACCCAACAGATCCTTTTAGGGGACACAACTTAGTCCAAAACACCAGTAATGCTGATTCCACACTGAGGACGAGCTGCTATCACGGGTCATTGGATTCTCGGGGGCTGAGGGTGGGCACGGGTCAGAGCTGTCCTAGAAAGATAATCAATACTGATGATAACCAATCACGATGATCAGCAATCATGATGACAACTGATACTGACGATTAATAATGTTGATAACTAATAATAATGATCACCAATCATGATGATCACCAATCATGATGGTAACCAATAACGATGATAACTGATAACAATAACTGATACTGATGATAACCCATAATGATGATTAATAATGTTGAAAACCAATAATAAGGATCACTAATTATGATGCCAGGAACAGCTAAGCCCCCTGGGGCTGGCATGTGCTCCGCATATATCTTCCCACTCACTCCCACTTACTCCTTCCAGGAGCCCATTTATTTATTTATTTATTTATTTATTTTTTAGAGATTGGTGCCTGAGCTAACATCTGTTGCTAATCTTCTTTTTTTTTTCCCTTCTTCTTCTCTCCAAAGCCCCCCAGTACATAGTTGTATATTCCAGTTGCAGGTGTTTCTGGTTGTGCTGTGTGGGACGCCGCCTCAACATCGTCTGATGAGTGGTGCTAGGTCCGAACCCAGGATCTGAACTGTCAAAACCCCGGGCCTCTGAAGCGGCGTGTGCCAACTTAACCACTCGGCCACGGGGCAGCCCCCAGGAGCCCGTTTTAAAGGCGAGGAAGCTGAGGCACGGAGGGCTGATTTCCCTTCCCGCAGGATGCGCTGGGCTGGGACTCGAACCCAGGCTGGCCACCTCAGGTGGGAGGTGGGACCGGGAGCCGCCCCGGCACAGGGAGGAGAGAGCCTCCAGGCCGCCCTCCCCCTCCTGTCACATCCTCAGGGTCACAGCTGGAGTGAGCAGCGCAGCCCTCGGAGCCGGACGGGAGGGAGCCGCTCATCGTCGGCGCATTGACATGGGCCCCGATGCTCAGCCGGGGGCTTCATCTCTCAGAAAGAAGCCTTCACTCCACCTTTCTGTAGAGGAGAAAGTTGGAACGCATGATTTTCATGAACTTGCAAAATGCGTAAAACAGGAAAAATCCTTGAGGGAGGACGTCCATCTTAAGAGGCACTGCTGGAGGAACTACCAGTGGAAAGGCAGCGTTCCCGAGAGGCAGGGCTGTGGGAGGAGGCCTGTGGGGAGGCTGCGCTCACTGCCCGGCCAGACGGCCATCGGGTCACGAGCGCCTGCACCATCTCTCCCCGAGCTCAGCGCCCTGTGCGTCCTTTCAAGCGTCTCGTTCACCCACTGGCTCTTTAGAGTCGATCTCCCCACCAGAACGCAAGCACCCCAGGAGCAGGCATCCAGAGCTATGCCTGCACACAGTAGGTGTTCACAAACATTTGTCAACCGGTGGACGAATGAGCAGTGGACGGACCCACTGCGCACAGCCCGGCCCAACACACTGTGAGCCTCTCCCGGCTCTGTGCCAGCTGCCCTCGTCCCCGCACAGCCCCCACTCCTGTCCAAGGTGTGGAGGAAGCCGGTCGACTTTGGAGGGCCTGGGGCCCCCGCCCTTTCCTCTCCCTCCACACCGGGTCAGGAGCCGTGGGGCCTCTCGGGCCTGGCCACGGGCCACCTGCACCTGTCGTGGAGCACTGTCGACCAGCAGGAACCGATCCTACACCTGCATGAAGTCGGCCAGCATCCGGCTGCTCTTCCCTGAGGACGTCTGCACGCGAGTCATCGCTCTCACAGCTTCGCATGGGCGCACAGAGGAGATCCTGTGCTGCCAGAGAGGGGAGGGGCTTTGGTGGGCATGCACGGAGCGGAGGGGTGGGGAACGTGGGGGGCGCCTTCAAGGAGAAGCCACCAGGAGTGACCGTGAGTTTAGACCCAAATTAGTCCGCTAGGGCTGCGTAACAAGCACCACAGCCTGGGCTCAAACAGCAGATTATCCTCCCAGTGCCAAGGCTGGACGTCCAAGATCCAGGCGTGGGGCTGGTTCCCCTGAGGCCTCTCTCCTTGGCGTGTAGACGGCCGTGTCCTCACGTGTCGTCCCTCTGTGCGTGTCTGTGTCCTCTTCTCCTCTTGTTAGGACAGAGTCCTGATGGACTGGGCCCACCGTCTGAACTCAGTCTCCTCTTTAAGACCCCATCTCCACACACAGTCCCTCCTGAGGTTCTAGGGTTAGAGCTTCAATGTGCGAATTTGGGGGACACAGCTCAGCCCACGAGACCCAAAGGGTGAGGAGGAACCAGCCTCACGAGGCCTGGGGGACGAGGGACCCTCGGGCACCATTGGGGGTGACGCAGAGCAGAGGGTGCTCACCGTGGTCGGGCTCCCGCCATGTCGCTCCCTCTACACCTGGCAGATCACGCCTGTCACGGACACACGCAGCTTCAAACTGCCTTTCAATTAGAAATAGTGCAGCATAGACAAAGCGTGTGGGTCCAGCACGAATTTGCATAAAGTCATCTCTTGTGCTTATAACACAATCCTCTTCGCAGTTTAAAAAAAAAAATTGGTGTTAAACACGGAGCAGATAGAAAGGGGTGTTTCTCATACACAGCAAGGTGTGGCGGTCAATGAAGCAACAAAGAGCCTGGCGGTGCCCAGCCAAGAGCGGGGACACGCCCCTCGCCCGCGGCCAGCATGCGCAGAGGCCACACTCTGACTCCCTGGGTTGCCTCCACTCTCTCCTGAGGTCCAGCGCATGTCTGTCCCCAGGTCCCAGCGGCGTGTCCGCGTCCCCAGGTCCCAGCTGCGTGTCCGCGTCCCCAGGTCCCAGTGGCGTGTCTGGGCCTCGGCCACATGGATGTCATCTTGTGCCCACGCTCCTGCATCCTGCGCTTCCCACCGAACGTTCAGCCCCTGGTTGCCGCTGGGCTGTGGCAGTTTCAGGACAGTGCAGTGTCCCTGGCTTGAGGAGGTCACCACGTGTACCTCATCCTGCTCCTGGTGGACCCCACGTGCTTCCAGCTCTCAGCCCGCAGGTGTGCGGCTGGCGCGTCCTCTCCCGGGTGGGCTCCTGCACCTGAACTCGCCCTCCTGTGCCTCCGGCTCTGCAGCCCGTCTGTGCAGTGACTGCAGTGTTTGCAGCTCCGGCCTGTGCCTCTGCCCGGTGGGAGCGTCCCCCCCGGGGGCTCCGACGTGACTGAG